GTGTGTGGCCTTATGGCACACTTCCGGTGATGTCAGGGGGTGTGGCTTATGCTAATGAGTTATGCTAATGAGTTCCCCTAGCTCTTTTTCTATGAAATGACCCCTGCATTTATCAAAGGTATGCCTGACCTCTCTGGCCACCAAACCAGACTCTACGAGCCAAAGTGAAACCAAATTTGAGCAAGGTGGCGCTTGCAGGTGTCAGGCTGTGAGGTCTGTGCGAAAAGCCAAGAGCCCTTTGGTTCTTGCCCTTCGGCATAGGCAGCTCTGGCCCTGCTCAGGTTAAATACAATATGTGTGTAACGACATTGTCACTTACATGCCTGCTAAATAATGCCATTTCAATCCACTTTAGCGACCATTTGCAAGAGGATTTTGCTATTTCACATAGCTGCCGAGTGTGTTAAAAGTGGGATGAAAGGGTGTTATACCCCCAAAACCCCAGAAGCGGTCCCTCTCAATCTGTGGGAGAGTAAAACAACCCCTAAAGCTCACAGAGAACTCATCACGGCAATACGGACAGCTGCCAAAGCTCTTATGGTTTCATGTTGGGAAAAAGAATCCCTCCCTAGCATACAACAGTGGTGTACCATACTTTGGGAATATTGCACATTAGATAAGATTTTGACTAACATTTTTAGCCACAAAAATAACAAAAATCAAACACATTTAATAGAGACATGGGACCCATTATTAAGTAATTTCTGGACTGACTTACCTGATTATATCTTGATCTTTTAGAATAGCTACCTCCACTTTTCCCTGTCCGATTCCTCCTTCTCCTAATTACCTTGTTTTGTGTATTATATATATGTTTTATACATTATATAGAACAGTGTTGAAATTGTACTTCTTCTATTAATATGGTATATTTTCCCTAAAGAATATAAGAACATAAGAACATAAGAGATGCCAATGTTGGATCAGGCCAAAGGCCCATCCAGTCCAACACTCTGTGTTACAGTGGCCAGAAATACCAGTGCCATCAGGAGGTCCACCAGTGGGGCCAAATATATCCACCATATATTTGTAAGGTTTTGCACTGAACAAGTTGTATATATCTATGTTACTGTTGTTTGTTATCCGTTAAATCTAGAGTCTTATATTTTCATAAAGTAGTTTCAGTTTCAGAAACCTTTAATGGCATAAAGTGTAATAAAATGCAGACATAGTCTTACATAAATAAAAACAAAATGGGAGTAATACAGTCCAGGTAAGACAATAAAACAGTGTCAAAGAATAACAACACATAAGAGCAAAATTAATCAAGTATTCTCTCGCTTCACCTTCGCCTTAGAAACATGATTACTCTTATATTCAACACAATAACCAAATACTCAGCCACAAGTTCTGTCAGTCTGATGGATTTATCAGCCAGTAGTCTGAAAATAAAGTATCTAAGTATTTTTTTTTAAAAAAATTATTATTTAGTGTGTGTGAAAGCCAGTTTGTGGTGACCCTGTAAGGTTTTCAAGGCAAAAGGCATTCTCAGGCGGCTTGCTTGCATCCACATAGCAACACTGGACTTCCTCAATGGTTTCCCATCCAAGCATAAACCAGGGCCGACACTGCTTAGCTTCTGGGGTCTGACTAGCTTGAACCGTCCAGGCTACAGTGCCCTACGTTGTCCTCAGACAACAGCAGCAAGGGAGAAAAAGAGCATTTCTTTTCAATCTTCCTCTTTTGACTCCTTTTTTTTCTCCCTTCCAGGCACCTCAGTATTTCTACATGCCATCTCCCCTCTGGGTCCCGTGTCCCCAACCTTTGGTCAGCTACATCCCGGCGTACCCGCCCGTCACTGTCTACTACGTGGCCTCGAAACCGCCGGCTCGCAGGAAGCCCAACCCGAACCTCATGAAGCGGCTGACCTACCGGGCGTCCAAAGTGTGAAGTGGGCGGGAGAGGCTGGGCGGAGCCGGCAGGCCGTAGGCCTCGCCCAGTTCTCTCCGTGAGATGCTCCTGTCTGGCGTTGGGCCTTGTCTGTGAAGACAAACGGGGCCGCTGATTTCAGAATCCATTTTATCCCCTCCTGGTGAGACCTGAATCCTAAGGATTCTCCTCAGAAGTTATACGCCAGGTGAAAGGATCCTGGCTGTCTCTTAATCTCGCCTGCCCCCCCAACCCTTGTGTGTGGAGGGGTGGGCCCCTTTTATCCCATGGTGCTGAAACGAGTGTAGCATTCCGATTGTGTATTAACCAGCACTTGTGTGTACAGTATGAAGCAAAAGTCAGGGGTGTCCCCATACTGGACAGAAATGAAACTTCTGGGGTTTTTATTTCCTCTCCGGCAGGCAAATGAAGTTTTTAATATTTGTGGGTGTTTAAAAAGGGGTTCTGTATTTGACCTTGGTTGAGGAATGAGATTCTGTGGAAAAGATTGGGATTCTTGTCTCCTGTTTTCTCTGCCTCGGACTTTCCTTAAGAGATTTCCTGTTTCTGTAACACTGGAATGGCGACAGCAGCTTGTATGTGCTTTCAAAAACAAAACAAAAAAAACCCCCACTCTAGATTCCGGCTGCAAGAAAACTTAGCGTGGCTTGGCTTGTGTGGAAATGATTGGAAAAGGAGCAAATCTGCATACGAACTTCTTGTTCGTAATCTTTCTGGCTTTTGCTAGTTGTGGGCGGGGCAAAGAGCATCAAAGCCCCGCCTCCTGGCCGTGGAGCTCACAGCTCACCCAATCAGCGTCCGCTGTTTTACGAGAAGTTGTCTGCTATGCTTTTACTGCCATATGGGCTAGAAACCTGCTTTTTAAAAAAAGAAAGAAAGAAAAGAGTGCTAAGATTTTTTAGGATACAAAATTCGCTCCCCCGAGATCAGTTTCTATGCTTGCGCAATGCAATCTCTGTCTGCACACCAACTCTGCAAATAATACTTAACCTACCTCAAGAGATGCTGTTTTAAAGAAGAATGAAACTAGAAGGTGTTTAAATTTTTTTGCATTTTTTGAAGGACTTGTTGTTGGGCCAAGTATTATTAATATTATTATTGATGTTGATAGTTTATATATTATTATTATCTTCTGTAAATACCAATCTGGAATGTTAATTTATGAAATGACCAATAATTGTATAAATAACTTTTTATCTGCAGCTGGTTTTTAACGCACCATTGGTAACGGATGCATCTTGCCTTTTTTTAAAGAGAAAAAATCTTTTCTATGCGGAGAATGAACTATTAAAAATAATAAATTATACCGACAACTAGCCGTTTGGAAGGATGGTTTTGTGCGTTTTGCAGGGTGGAGGGGTCAGAGATGGAAAGAAAAGCAGGAATCCTGTGACTTTAAAAAAAACACAAACCCTGATAGTTTGTACGTGGGAGGGTTGTTACTCCAGCACCATTCATATGCAAGGCACACAGAATAGTAAGAACAAAATGGTCTCTGCCCACGGAGATGGCAATCTAAAAATAAGAGCACAAGAAGAGCCCTGCTGGATCAGACCAGTGGTCCCTCCAGTCCAGCATCCTGTCTCACACAGGGGCCAATCAGTTCCTCTGGGAATCAATTTCGGCTGGCAGTAAGACTCCCGCATGTCAGTTTCGTCAGTATAAGCCCATTCTGGAGTCTTTCGGCCAGCCGAATGTCAATTTCAGCCCCATTATATCCTGTGGGCCACTGAAGTCAATGGCGAAAACATAGGGTATATTCTGGGGGCTGGAGGGGAGGGGGATTGAGGGAGAGACTCCAAACTCGCAGGGTAGCTGCTGGAGCCTCCTCTCCCCAAGATACCAACCAAGTTTCAGGGGGTCCAATTCTACGGGCCCTCAAACAGGTTGCCCCTATTCCCTCCATTGTTCTCTATGGTGGGGAAAAAATGCAAGATCGTCCGCAAACGCCAACAGTTTAAATTCTTCGCCTTTTAGTTTGAGGCCTTGTATTTTGTTACCTCCTCTCACTTCCTCATTTAAAGTCTCTAACGCAAAAAATGAATAGCAGCGGCGAAAGGGGGCAGCCTCGTCTTGTTCCCTTTTGAATTTTAATCCTTTGCGTTATGTCTCAATTTACGGCAATTTGTGCATATTGTTCTTTATCAATTGCACCAACCATTATCTGGAGATCTTTCCCACCATCCCATTTTTCTAATTTTTGTAATGGGAATCCCCAAGATAGATGATCAAAGGCCTTCTCTGCATCTAAAAACATTAATAGCAGTTGTTCTTCTGGATAAACCTCATAGTATTCTAGAACGTGAATGATAGTTCTTCTATTGTCTTTCATCTATCTTTTAGGTAGAAAGCCAGTCTGACCAGGATGGATAATCTGAATCAAAACTTTTTTCAGTCTGGTTGCTAGAATACTGAACCTGCTGCCCATCAGCTTTATTGGATGCCCTCGAGTTCTAGTATTTTCGGAGAGGGAGGGAAAAGTTCTCTTTGTTGACTCTCTCCCATCCCATGCATAATGTTACAAACCTCTCTCATGTCCCCTCCAAGGCTCCCTCTAAGCTGTGGAGTCTTGTGAGCAAAAATTCTACTCGGTGAGCGACTGGCATTAAAGTTGTGAGCGAGCGATTTGGCTCCTGCATAAATTTGTTTGCTCCGGAGGCATCCTTCCTGAGTGAAGACAAAAATGTGTGAGGCGGAGGCTAGAAAACTGTGAGCTAGCTCATATTAACTCAGCTTAGAGGGAACACTGGTCCCCTCTCAGTCATCTCTTTTCTAAACTGAAAAGTCCCAGGCTCTTAAGCCTTTCCTCACAGGGAAGGTTACTCATCTTCGTCGCCCTCCCAGACAAATCCCAGCATTTGCGTCTCCATGGGAGTCGAAATTCTATTCTATCTCCCGGTCTTAAGAAAAACCCCTCTCGAGATCTGGATCAGACCTTCCTATGCAGGAGTCATCAGAGCTGCCATTTCCACCCTCTCCCTGGTGGGGTTCCTGTGTCTTTAACAGAGAAAATCCAATTGGTGAATCTTTCTCTGTAGGTGTTAAGGAGATAAGGAAAGCTGCACCAGTTAAACTCTGGTTTGCTGGGTGGCTGTTGAAAACACAGGCATCTTACTAAAAGTGTGGGGGGAGTAATAGTGTGGTGGCTCACGTGGTTAAGATGCTGAACTGCAGGCTGTGGAAGGTCAGGAGTTCAGCAGTTCGAGACCCAGGTGCCTCATGATGGAGTGAGCTCCTGTCTCTAGTTCCAGCTCCTGCCAACCTAGCAGTTCGAAAGCAAGAAATTGCAAGTCGATAAATAGGTACCACTTTGGTGGGAAGGGAACAGCGTTCCGTGTGCCTTGGTGTTTAGTCATGCCGGCCACATGACCACGGAAACGTCTTCGGACAGCGCTGGCTCTTCGGCTTTGAAACGGAGATGAGCACCACAACCGTAGAGTCGGATTTGACTGGCTTTCGAGCAAGGGAAACCTTTACCTTTTAAT